AAATCCTCCGCTTGGGTTGAAAACGGTAAGATTTGAAAAACGAAGCGCCTATCCTCGTGCATTTCTCGATTGCGTGGGAAATGCCTAGCCGCTAAAGACCAGGTTGGAAATTAAACATTATGCTTTACTGCTCTTTTGGGATTCATTTTGATTGATGTTACCACTGGAGAGTAGAAAATCAAGTGGTTATTTTAGCAATTCATGGATGGTACACTATTTCTATTTTATATCTTTAGATTAAACTTGACTAATAAAGAAGGGAATGTGGGATTGGATGTATGAACGATGAATAGATGAATAGGTGGGCAAATGAAGATAAGATGATAGGGAATGCAGTGCATACGTCGGTCATTAATATCTAAAAAAGCAACATTTGGCCTCGACTTTTCTTCAGTTGATCTTAAAGAGCGTTATCTCCTCCGGCTATATCACTTATCTGAATGTCTGCTTGTCTCTCCACCCGTTAGCCATGTCGCACCAAGTACAGACGATGTGCAGACCATGAGTATTCCACATCCTTCTTCTCAAGCACTTGGTACCGCCTCTACCATCGCCTTGGTGAGAGTGGAGGGGACACATCCTACCGAAATCGGTTAGACGGTTTAAGTTTAATCACAATCTGCGTATTTACTCGTTTGTGTCTCTCTACGCAGACTCTCCCGAACACGCATGAGCTTCCCAACGTTAATATCTTCGTGTGTTTCACCATTAGTGTACAACTTTGATGGATACCTCTACATGTTAGCAAAATGAGAGTGTCATTTTTACCAAACTGGAACATCTTCCTCGAAAGTGGAGCCACTGAAGAACAGTTCAATGATACCACACGCCATAGTGTGTGGCCATGACCTCCAAGTTTACACTCACGACTCGCGCATATGACATCTGCTGGGCCGGACACGCTTTATCAGGACATATTAGGACATATTCATGAATAGATAAGAATACCCAAAATTCTAATGTGCTAATTTTTGGGAATAAAATAATCTAACTAATAACTTGCTGAATGTTATAATTTAATGCACGAATAAAATTGTCTTGGGGTCGAGAAGGCCGCAAATTTGCCTCAATTTTTTACCTTTGTCTTTACAAATAATTAAAGCAATAATGGCAAAAAGACCATTAAATTGCAAATAGTATTTTTATCCTTGTGCAAAATTTGCATCACAATGAAACAGAAATGCTTAAAATAGGCAAACGAAGTCCAGCCTACTGGGGTGGTGTATGTAGGTCAAGGTAATGTATCTATAGTTAATGGTAAGGCAAGCAATAAAATATCATCAACAAATAGCTGGCAGATTGCTATTGTTTTTTAAATAGAGTTTATCACTTGCTTTTTTACATGCTAGGTAATGTTCATACAGGGTTAATTTCTCCAAGTTGTATTTTTTTCTATATTTTCTATAACAGGTGCATAATCTGAAATAAACAGGCTTAATTTCAACATTGAATTCGTCTACAGCTTAGACAAAAATGAATTAATAAATATCTGGATATTGTGATTAATTTAAGTAGTGGCCTTAAAAATTCGCGCACAGCTAAGAGAAAAACATGTC